CCTGGGTGCCCTTGTCCAGTGACAGCAGCCCCGCCTAAGGCCTGGGTGTGCCCTGGTCCAAGGACAGCAGCCCTGCGTGAGTCCTGCCTGAGGCCTGGGTCTCCTGCCCCAGTGACAGGAGCCCCCCCCCCCAGCCCCGCCCAAGGCCTGGGTGCCCTGCCCCAGTGACAGGAACCCCCTGTGAGCCCTGCCTGAGGCCTGGGTGCCCTGGCCCAGGAACAGCAGCCCCGCCTGAGGCCTGGGTCTCCCAGAGCCCCACCTGGTGCGCAGCGCCTGCCAGGCTGCATCAATGTCGGCATAGAGGTTCTTCTCCGAGGGCTTGCCGGAGCTGCCGCCGTAGCCCGAGTAGTCGTAGGAGAAGATGTTGCAGTTGATGCGGGTGCCCAAGCCCACATAGAAGCTGCTCATCTGACCCAGGTCTACCGCGTTCCCATGGGAGAAGAGGACCGTGTACCTGGGGAGACAGCCAGCGGTCCCTCACCTGCCTCAGTGAGAGAGCCGAGGGCAGCCCACCCCACCACCAAGAAGGGCCTGTGCCACAAAGGAACCCTGCTTCCCCCCGTGTGGCCTTGGCCAGGGGCTGGCCAGTTGAGTGTCTGGGTCCCCCTCTGTGAAAGGGGGCCACGAGGCCCGTCAGTCACGTGCTCAGCACACAGTCGACCCACCACCTGGGTCCACCACCAGCTGTCTCCTCGGGCCGCACCCTCGGCTGCTCTTGTGTGGAACAGCCGCCTATGCCCACTGGTACCCGTCCACCCCAAGGGGGGCATCTAGGTGCTGACTCGTAATCTCAAGACAGCTGACCTAGCTCAGCCTTCGTGCTGATGCCCACGCCCCAGGCAGCGCAGCCCTGCGAGGTCAGGGTCCAGGGCAAGCCACCCAGGCAGGCTGCCTACTGTCACGCTGGCCCAACCCTGAGCCAAGCTAGAAGCCTTTTGGACTCTGGTCTCCACCTGTGGGACCACAGGAGGTGAAGGCCAGTCCTCAAGATGGAGGGAGACTGGTGGCCTGGCACCCGGGAAGCCAACGCTGGGGCCAGCCAAGCATTCTGTTAAAGAGGACACAGCCAGCGTGTCCCAACCACCTGGCAGGGCAATGAGCACACATCAGGCTGGGACAGAACATCTCCTGGGCAGGCCAAGCAGGGGGCTTCACGCTTGGCCTCCCTTCCCTCTGAGCCAGAGAACAGAACCGACCCTGTGGCCCAAAGACCCACGGACCCTCGTCTTCCCCTGTGAGGGAGCCCCAGGGTCATCAGTCACAGGCCTGGACCTGACACTCACTGGCCGAGGGGTGAGGGCGGCTCCTGGCACCCGGCTGCCCACTCACCTGGCACCAGGCACACAGCGCACGTACATGCAGGTGATGCGGCTGCCCCGGGCACTCTTGGTCAGGAACACCTCGATGGTGTCCAGCTCCCGCTGGCTGTACTGGAAGTCGGCTCGCTCGGTCAGGTGCAGCTTCCAGCGTCCGGGGGTTCCAGCCGAGGCCCGCAGGGGGCCCGAGGGAGCGGCCCCAGTCCCGGGCTCAGGCTCGGGCACCAGGGAGTAGGTTGGCTCGGGCGGCAGGAAGGCCAGCTTGGCAGCGATGCGGCCGGGGCAGGGCGGGCAGCAGAAGAGGCAGCAGAGTTCGCTCACCGACAGGCCGTTCATGGCGGGCGCCGGGCCCCCGACGCCGCCGCCGGCCAACCTCACGGCAGGGAGTGTGTGGGGGTACTCGTCCCCCGGCCTCCTCCCCAGAGGAAAGCCCTGTTAGGAGGCCGCGGCCCGGCCCCATCGTGGTCCAGGGTGAGCTCTCGGGAGCCTGCCGGGTGCGTGCTGCCATGTGGTGCAATGCGGAACCCTGCAAGAGAGGCCAGGGGGAGGGTGAAGACCCCAGAGACCCCTCCATAGAGCTCCCTCCATGGGCTCAGAACCCCAAACCCACAGGCAGTGTCACGTCACAACCACCCCGTGGTGACTGTCCCACGTTTCAGGCCTGTAAAATGTAACAAGAGTTAGCATCGCAACACATAATGCACTGCACCACCAGAGAGCCTTCTGTGAGCTTGTTGTTGTTGTTGTTGTTATGTGCCATCAAGTCGCTTGCGACTCATAGCGACCCTATGTACAACAGCCCTAAACTGCTCTGTCCTGTGCCAATCGCACTGTCTCTGACACTCCCATCCCAATTATCCCAGTCACTGAATCAACCCACCTCATAGAGGGTCTTCCCCTCCTGCGCTGTCCCTCCACCCTCCCAAGCATGATGTCCCTCTCTAAGGACCTGTCCCTCCTTGCAACATGTCCAAAGTATGTTAGACAGAGCCTCAGAATCCTTGCCTCCAAGGAGCCAGCCGGTTTAACCCTTTCCAGGACGAATCTGTTTGTTTTCCTAGCAGCCCATGGTATTCTCAATACTCTTCTCCAGCACCACAGCTCAAAGGCATCAATTCTCCTTCTATCCTCTTTGGTCATTGTCCTACTATCTGATGCATAAGAAGTGATTGCGAAGACCATGGCCTGTATCAGACGCACCTTAGTCTCCAGAGAGGCATCCTTGCTCTTCAGTACCCTGGAGAGGTCCCTAACAACAGACTTTCCCATGGCAATACGCCTTTTAATTTCCTGGCTACTGGTAGTGTCCCCAAAATTACACACTGGCACCCAAGATCCTGGGTGGGAGACACTGGGCCAGGCGCTGTGCTGACCTGCACAACAGATGCCCTTCTTAAAGAGAGGCCGCAGGGTATGGAGAAAGGGCAGCGGGGGGGGGAGTGTGGTCTTGCCGGCCTGAATCCCGGCTCTAGACCAGCGCCTGGGCAGGGAACACCGGGCTGTGGGGCCCGAGTGCCTTAGAGCAAAGGCCTGACAACCTGCTTCCAGAACATGAGCGCTGGACACCTGTGGAGCGCAGCTGAGCCAGCACAGGGCCACACGGGGCAGGGCTGACTGTCACGGGCAGCTGTGCTTGTCTCTGAGCTGCCAGGACCAGAAAAATACAACATTCGCCTTAAGTCAGCTGGTTCGTGGTCACCTGTTCAGACAGCCCCAGGCCACTCAGACCAAGGCATAGTGCCATGTCCCACCCTGGGACTCCTGTTCCTCGGCCTAGTCCTGACCCCCAGGCCTCCTGTGCCAACACCCCCACACACAGAGCACTATCCCAGCCCCACCTGGGGCAGCCCTTCCAGGTGATAAAGGGCAACAAGAAGGAAACAGCAAGCAGACAAAAGCCCTGAAGACACGCAGGGCAGGCCAGCTGCCTCAGGACAAAGGGACAGGTGGGCGGGCTCTGGCTGCAGGACTGGGGAACAATGGCAGGAAGCCAGGTGGCCTGTGGCTGAGGGCAGAGGGGGTAGAACGCAAGACCCCTCCCCAGATTACGACCTCGACCTCGGAGTGTGACCGTGCTGGGAAATAGTCTTTGTGGATGTCTGTCTCTGCCGAGTGCCCACAACCTTCTGCAGGAAATGGTTCCCCGGGCGCCCTCAGCCCAGGGCCGCCCTCACGGGGATGTGGGTGGTCTGCAGCCCAGCGTGTATCCGCTGTACCACCAGGCTCCTTGGCTGCACTAGCTGTTGTTGGTGCCATCAAGCTGACTCTAACTCACAGGGACTCCAAGCACAAGAGAACTGAAGCCCGCCTCGTCCTGCCAATGGCGGGCGCCCCAGAGAGACGGCAGGGATGGGGTAGGAGAGGGCAAGCTTGTGGACTGGACCCACAGGCCTGCAGGTGACCAGCAATACCACAGAGGCCCACACAGGATCACAAGGGCAGCAGCGGCCCCGGGACAGAGGGGGCAGGGAAGGGGAAGGGGGGGGCCCCGGAGCAGGGAAGGATGAGGGGAACCGTGAGGCACAGGGCAGGCTGATGAACCATCCAGGTGAGCATCGCTAACGGGCAGGAGCGGCCGAACCGAAACCAGATCTGTTCTGGAAACTCGCACGCAAATCCCAAGCTTTTTTTTAAACAGCTGGCCACGTAAAGATGCAGAGGCGAACAAAGCAAAGACGGTCCTGTGAAGACGGAGGCAGACTGGGGTGATGTGTCTACAGCCAGGCCTGGTCTCACCAGGTCCTCCCCTGGGTCTCCAGAGGGCAAGAGGCCTGCCAACACCTCAGCCTTGGACCTTTGACCCCAACAACACATTAGCCTCTGTTGTTCTTTCCAAGCCTTGCCACAGCCTTGACCCAGAGTCCTGCAGCACTGCCACACGGGCCTGGAGTAAGGATGTCCACCTCTGACAGCACACTGCACTGAACAGAGTAAAGGAGCCCTGCTGAGGGTGTGACGAGCTGGCTGATAACCAGAAGGTCAGCAGTTCAAATTCACCAACCACTAACAGGGGAAGGTGAGGGAGCCTGAGCTCTGGTAAGGTTTCCAGCCTTGGAAACCTGTGAAGGGTCACCACGCATCAGAATCGCCCAGAAGGCAGTGATCACTTCATATGTGAAGGGCTACAAAGGAACCTGGGGGCATAATAACTAGCCCTTACCCAGGCTGACCTGCTGCTGTGACGTCCGCAGCCCCGCAGAGACCTGACAGACATGACCTGTCTCACCACACATGGTCACTCTGAGCTGGACGACACCAAAAAAAGCAAAGCAGCACGTGCAGGGGCCGACAGGGCGACATGAGGGTCAGTGGGCAGTCTACCCACACTCAGGCACACCCTGCGGCAGCTCAGCGCTCCGTAGTCTCGAGGCCGAGGAGGAGGCCTGGAGAGGGGTCCCCGGGGAGGGGGCCGGAGTCACAGTCATGGCCACAGGGGAGTGCTGGGTCTTGCTGCCACGACGCTGCATCCTGGGAGCCAACACAGACCTCCTCCCCAGGACCAGCCATCTGAGACTTGGGGCAGGCAGTTACCAGACTCATGCGAAGCTGGGGCGTGGACATTTTTTGGGATCCGTCAGTGGGATGCAAATCCAGTGTGAGAGGACTGTTCTGAAGGAGATGAGGTCCACCACAGAAAGACAAAACTGAGCCCGGTTTCAGAGTCGGCCCTGACGTGAGCGTCCTGCAGGACCACAGAGCTGCCCTCCGGCTCCGGGCTGCCCTCCTCCCCGAGCCCCGCCCCTCTGTCTGGGGCATCAACTGTTGCCACTGCCCCACCCATATGCCACCAGGGCTCCTGAGATGCTGACTCTGCCCCGGGGACATCAGGTGATGTCTGGGGACAACCCAGTTGTCAAGACTGGGGCTGGGGTGATGCCACCGAGCGGGTGGAGGCCAGGGATACCGCTCAGCACCTTACAGGGCACAGGACACCCCAGAGAAGCCACCGCATGGATTGTGTGTGTGAACAAGGGGAGGTCAGCCCACAAATATGACATGCCTGTGTGCTGGAGCGCTTGTGGGGTGCAGTTTGGGGTGGCATCATGAAGCTGCTTTGACAGGAAATCCTAGCAACCCCAAGAATGAAGGGCACCCCAAGGTGGACGAAACCCCAAAGCCACCCAGACCTCACCTGCTGGCCTTCTTTCCAACCTGGCCCTCCACCCTCAGCTCATCCCTCCCACTAGACCAAGGGTCTCCTATGACACCCATCTGGTCAGCTCTCCCTTCGGCGTGGCCTCAATGTCCAGTATACCCAGGCTATCGGCCAAAGCGCTCACTCAGCTGAAGTCCTCCTTGGTCACCTCTCAGGCCTCACCCCTGCACCAGCTCACAGCTGGCATCACACCACCCCTCCCATGTCAGCCTGTCTGCAGGCACCTTCCTTAAGAAGTTGGCCAGGTCAGGACCCGCCCCCCCAGATGACCAGGATCCCTGAACCCAGCCAGGATCCCCCAAAGCGACCAGGACCCATGTCCTCATGGCCCCATGGTGTCTTTGTGTTTAAAATTACAAACCACAACTCCTGGGTGGCACCAACGCTGAGTGGGGTTTACAAGCGAGAAAGGTCCCGGGGTCGGCCAGTGTGACAGGTGTCAGTCACGTGATGAGGGACAATCCCTGCGCCCCACGTCTCCATGGAAGGATCTGGAGATGTGGCTAACACCTCCCAGAACAGAGGTGACCGCCCCCCACAGTGCCGGGGCACCTCAGCCAGGCAACCAAAGGCTTCGAGCAAAAACAGATTTCCCAGAGATGAGACCCAGCCTGCCTCTGGCTCCAGCCCTGCGGTCACATGAGCCATTTCCTGACCATCAGTCAGTCCCCTCCTGTCTCACACCCCGTCTTCAAGCCACTGGGATGGAGTACAGATGCTCTGCAGGCTGGGTCAAGTCTTTACAGACGCCAACGGCCAGGACTTTTTCTCGCTGTGCTTCCAGGTGAGTTCAAACTGGCAGCCCGTAGGCTGACAGCTGAGAGCCAGTGACTGTGGCACCCCGGGACCTTCTGATGAGGGTGAAGCCTTCACACTGGTCCTGATGTACAATAACCTTGGGAGAAAGCCCCTCCTGCTCTCAAGGTGAGGATGGAGACAAACCACCCACCTGGCAATTCATGACAAGGTACTTTTACCACTGGACCACCACGGCTCCCTTTATAGAAACACAACCAAACCCAGCGCTCTCGAGTCCAATGCCCAGTGACCCCACAGGACAGGCTAGGGGTACTCACAAGAGCCCAACGCTGTCATCTCTACAGAAGTAGACTTCTCCTGCACAGCAGCTGACAGTCGGGTTTGAACCACTGATCTTTCGGTTAGCAGTCGTGTATTTTAACTG